GAGAGGAGCAGAGACGGCGGGGGGCGAGAGAGGGGAGGAGGGGAGGAGAAGGAGAAAGAGGGCGCGAGAGAGATGAGGAGAGAGTATCGATATGAGAGCAGAGATAGATCATAAGAGAGGCTCGGCCGAGCTGACGCTTATCCATCTGCACGCGCGTCTACACTTCGACAGGCAATAAGCCGATTAATGTGCCCCCCCCCGAGACTAATGATTCGGCGGTCGGTCATGTGGCCTTACTTAATGCGCCCCGCCCATCTCTTGATTCACTGAGCCGTATTACTATTGACTCCTATTTGCCTGCTACAGTACGCCACACGATATTCTAGCTTTACGCTGAACGTGTGATGCTTCTCTAACACATGCGCACGCCCACGCACACATCACACACTTACACACACACACACACACACTACTTACACACACACACACACACTACATCACACAACACACACACACGACATCACGACGCACACACGCTGCATCACACACGCCACACACACAGCACACACACACACACAAACACTTACACACACACACAGCACTACACAGTCACACACACTACACACATCACCACACACACACACACACACCACTACACACACACACGAGTACACACACACACACCACACATACACACTCACCTCACACACACTACACACACACCCACACACACACACAGTCACACACACCAGTCGCACACACACCACATACACTACACACACACACACACACACACACTACACACACTACACCACACACACACGCACCGCCCCACTACGCCACACACACTACTGCACACACACACACACACGCACACATCACACGACGCCACACACCCCACACATCACACACACACACACCACACACATCACACATATCACATTTTTTTCTCACCACACACCTCTTCACTCGCCTCTCCTCTCTCTCACTGACTCTCTCTCCTGTACTCTCTATCGCTCTCTCTCTCTCTCTCTTTCTCTGCCCGACATGCGCGACAGCAAAGGTCACAATTGTCCGGTGCCCCTATCGTCCGGCGATCGCGTTTGTACACGCGTTAATTCCACTCGCTGCCCATTATGCGTGCCACACAGAAGCATTAGTCGTCGACATTCTACCGGCTGAAACAAAAATACTTTGTCAACTTTTTCTGATAATAGTCTCTTTCCCCGCCGCCAATCTGCCCGGGCATATTCAGCCCGGTTAGCAAAAAAATATTTTACCCACGATCCCAATTAAACTCGCATGCGAGGTAAGATCTAATCTGGTGCTATTGGTCGTGCCCTCGCGAAGCTATTGCATTTAAATCAACTCGCATTCAAGAGCCATCGTGGCAATAAACCTCAATAAGTGATCCGGCCGAGTCGCGGCCCCTTCAATAATCTAACGCTCTGATATTTGCGTAGCCCTTTTCAAGTATGTAGGCCTTGCCCGAAATGCCATCGCGAATTGCGACCGAAATGCGAGTCGTACGAGTGCGGCAAATGAGGTAAGTTCGGTGAGCGTGTTCAATATGGCGTGGCTATTATAGTCTCACGCAATAGATGTTTTGACCTGCGGCCACGCCCACGCGTTTTCATTTCGCTTCTTGGATCACTTCACGCCACGCTCGATCGGTTATCACAAGCATCAAATTATCTGTGCAATATTCATGTGACATAGCTCTCTGAGTCAGATACGCTAAATAGCGAGATGCGAATTCATGCCCGCCCAAAGAATATACTTCTATGCTGCATTAGTTCTGCCCCCGAGAATGTCGATTAAAATAAATTTGAACTGATTATTGTAACCTGATTGAATCTAGTGGGTCGCCGCATTGGTCACGAAGTCGATTCATCTTTGCCATTGTTCAATAGTCTCGCACCACTACGATTACGCTTCCGTTCAGCCGATTCGCTTATTAAATGAGAAATCCAGCTCTCGTAGTGGTATTTATTATACGTTACAGTTCGGACCTCGATGGCGCTCCCTGGCACTGCCTGCCCGTGTGCTTACATTGCATAATTTACATCATCGCGCCTAACATTGGCTAAACATTCGCAAACATCGCATTCCCGCAACATACCGTGTCCTTCTCTATCCCCCTGGTCTACGCGGTGCTCAAATTGCGCCTGTCCACCAACCAAATGGCATCAAGATGTGAAAAAAATTCACACTCGGACGGCAAGCTTCCGCTGTCTATCCAAAAAAAACGCTCGCTGCGCCAAGAATAAACGAAAAGGCGATTTTCGTGAGGGTTATAGGTACGCATTGCTTGCCGTAACCATCACGGCGCTGGCGCCGCTGTGGGCGCTCCAGGAGGCGCTAGGGTTCGCGCTCTGTGTGCGCGCCTGACAGAAGGCGATAGCGCGACGATCACGATATGCCTCGTACCGCGGTGCACACAACACCTGGCCTCTCGCGCATAGAATCACTGGTAATCCCCAGACTCCTCGCCACTAGAGACATCATTCGACGGTGTGGGACCCAAGCAAAAATAAAGTGCGTACGCCCACACAGAGCTGCCCATTCACGGATGGCGCTCGGACTCGTTGTAGCCTGGTGTCGACCTTTTCTGTCGTGACATCACACAAGACGCTTCTAGTTCTTCGCTGGAGCATACTGAGATGGTCGCCCAAGAGCTGTCGTGTGCACGGCGCGCTGAGTCATGCAAACACGCCGACAGTCACCAGTCTAGAAGAGCGCGATTTTGGGGCTGGGGTGGGGGGCCTGCGCGCACGATAGGGTGTGTCGCCCTAAAAGTGCCACACGACTCCCCCTGCACTACACGCCGCGCACGTGTACGGTACGCCACGTACGCACAATCATTACGCCACACTGCACTACGGCACACACACACACAGCACACACCACACACACGACCACTCACTCACTAGAGAGAGAGAGAGAGAGAGAGAGAGAGAGAGAGAGAGAGAGAGAGAGAGAGAGAGAGAGAAATAGAAAGATTTAAAATCAATGCGTGGAGACGGTGTGGTGATTTCCTCGGCCGTGTGTTCTGCTGCTCTGATGAGAAATCTGTGCAATATCGGTCATCGATAGTGAACACGAAGCCTGCCTGCCTGACCTTCTCCTCTCGCCGCGCAAAGAAAGCGTAGGAAATACAGTCCAACTCCCTTGTTAGCTGACAACTCTGTGGAACGAAATTATGCTTATGAAGGGGGAATTTTTGGTGATCGCCATGAGTGACACACAGTGAAACCGCTTCTTTAAACGAACACCTGTCTATAAAAGGACACTATTGGAGTTTCCGTTGAGGGACCGTTATACAGAGGTTCGACTGTACATGTTTGCGGTGGAGGAGGAGAGGAGGGGCGGCAGCAGGAAGGAGGCGGGAATCACGGAGAATGGTCCCGGATTGTTCGCCGGAATTTGGCAGTGCGCCGGTTTCCTGCATTCCGACCGGGATCCCGCATTCCCCGATGACGTCACGCGACGGCAGACGATTGAGAGAGGCGGCGCGCGGAAGACAACGCAGCTGGATTAGTGAGTTTGTGTGTACGCTGCCCCCGCTTATTCCTTTGTGCGGCGAGCGTCGTACAAGAATGCAGACAGTGGCCGTCGGTGGTCAACACCAGCTCGGCCGGACAATGCCCCCACAATGACCTGTTTTGTTTTACCTGCTGATTCGATCGTGCCGTAATTTGTCTGGGCTCGAGTGCCTGATCTCACCTGGCCGCTCTCGGAAACAGGAAGGTTCGTGGTGAAGCAGCGACGAGGAAAATCCGGCCGTGAAAGGACTCCATTCATTAGCGTGTGGCAACTAAACACCGCGAAGGCTGGCGGGCACAGAATGGCGTGCTGCCGCGACCGGGGGTCCACTCCGTTCTTCTTCAGAGAGAGAGAGAGAGAGAGAGAGAGCTGCTGCTGCTGCCTGCACTCGGCCGGTCGTCATTGTGTGAAATGCGCTAAGAGCAGGTCTTACTAATTAGCGCCCGCGCGCGCGCACGGTCGGCACAGCGGCAGATTTGCCGCGGCCAGCCTCCGCCTGGCAGTGTTCTACAGTAGGAGAGGCCGTGTAAGATCCGCCAGCGCGCGCGGTGGGGGGGGGGATGCTATAGGTAACACGAGAGGCGCGATATAGGAGCAGAGGCTGAGAAACAAGAACAGTATAGGAATATATACATTATAACAGGAGCTAATAATGACAATTTGTCATTATTAGCTTCTGATTATAATGATGCTAGCATTCTATAGGTAACACTAAACGTGATAGGTGCAGAGGCTGAGAAACGAGAACATAATAGGTATATGCATAATACATTACAATGATGCTAGAATACTATACGTAACACTAGACTTGATTGTGCGTGCGTGTGAGTGAGTGTGTGTGTGTGTGTGTGTGTGTGTGTGTGTGTGTGTGCGTGTGCGTGTGCGTATGTGTGTGCGTACGTGCGTACGTACGTGCGCGTGTGTGAGGGGGTCGTGTGCACTTTTTAGGGCCACACCCTATCGTCGCCAGCCCCCCCCACCCCAAATCCGCTCTTCTGTGGTGACTGTCCGGTTGTTTGCATGAGTACGCGCTGCAACGACAGCTCTTGGCGACTCTCTCAGATCTCGCAGATACTAGAAGCTGTCCTTGTGTGTGTCACGACAGAAAAGGGCGGACACCGGCTACAACGAGGTCCGAGCCCATCTCTGAATGGGGCTTTCTGTGTGCGTACGCATTTTTTTTTCTTGGGGTCCCACCCGTGAATGGATGTCTCTGTGCGAGGGGTCTGCGATTACCAGTGGATTCTATCGGCGAGAGCCGGTTGTTTGTGTGCACTCCGGTTTACGAGCATTGTTCGTCTGCCTATTGGCCTTCTGTCCGCGCAGCCTAACGCGTGATGGGTAGCAACAATCGTACCTATCCCTCGAAATCGCCTTTTCGTTTATTCTTGGCGCGCAGCGTTTTTTTTGGTAGAAGCGGAAGCTTCCGTCCGATGTGAATTTTTTCATCTTTGGATCTTTGGTTGGTTTGGACATGGCGAAGTTTGGGACAGCGTTAGACAGGGGATAGAGAATGGACCGATGTTTGCCGATGTTTGCCGATGTTTACCAATGTTTGCCGATGATGTAATTATGCAATGTACACACGGCAGCAGTGCCGGGGGCGGCCATGTCGACCTGTATCGTATATGAATACCACGAGAGCTGGATTTCCTCATTTAATAAGCGAATCGTCTGACGGAATGTAATCGTATGGTCGAGACTATCGAAATGCAAAGATGAATGACGTTGTGACAATGCCGACCCATGATTCATCAGGTTACATATGCATTTCATTTATTATTAATGACGTCTCGGGGGCAGAACTAGATGCACATGAAGTTATTTTTGCGCATTGATTTCGCATCTCGTATTTAGCGTTCTGACTCAGAGAGGCTTGCCAATGAATATTGCAAGATATTTGATGCTTGTATACCGATCGAGCGTGGGTGAAGTGATCATGAAGCGATGCACGCGTGGCGTGGCCCGCGGGTCAAACATTTGCGTGAGATATATAGCCACCCATATTGACAGTACCCTTAACCTCTTTGCCGCCTCGTACGCTCGCTTTCGGTCCGAATTCGTGATGGCATTTCGCAGCCTAATTACTTGAAAAGGGCTACGTAAATATTCGGACGTTAGATTATTGAAGCCGCGGCCGGGATCTTATTGAGGTTTATTGCCGATGCTTTGAATGTCGAGTTGTTTATGCATGCTCGCAGGGCACGACAATGCAAGATTGATATTACGTCGCATGCGAGTTTAATTGGTCGGTGGGAAATTTTTTTTTGCTCCGCTGAATTGCCGCAGATTGCGCGGGGAAGAGAGACTTTATCAGAAAATTGAAAAAAGATTTTTCCCGTGTAGAATGTCGACGAATAATGCTTTGTGTTGCACGCATAATGGCAGCGTAGTGGAATTAGCGTATACAACGCGATCGCGGCGATAGCACCGACAATTGTGTACTTTGCTGTCGCGCTGTCGCAGAGAAAGAGAGAGAGAGAGA